TTCACTGTTCTCCCCAGATGCAACCACTAGAAACTCAGAGACGTAAACCTGAACAGCATCTGATGCCGTGTCCTTGACAAGAAGCTTCCATTTGCCAGTGTTATGATCAACATACGCAGATTCGACATTCTTATTATACCGAATGGAAATCTTGAAACGAGAGACATAGCTATCCAAGTAACGGAGGAAGTCAATCCTGGGGACAAAGGTGGGGAAATCAGAAGGGAAGGGCATGTGAGGGAGGCTGCAGAAATCTTTGCCCAAGTGAAGTTTCAAACGGTCATATGTTCTTTTCCTCCAAAGAGATGCATGACAATCATCTCTTTCAAGGACAAGATTGGGGATTGAAAGTTTGTTGAGACATGCAGAGGTTGCAAGACCAGCAGGGCCTGCTCCCACAATCACAACAGGAACTTCAATCTCCATGACAGAATTGGATTGATATTGGTTTCTGTGTGGGTTTTCACCTTCTGCTGTGCTTCTCCTTTTATAAGCTTCTGCTATTCATGACATTGTTTATTTGGCACTTATCATGAGTTGCCAACTTGCCAACCAGGAGTGTGTGATCAACCCAGTTTTAGTTTTCCTTTTTTACTATCATTCTATATTTTGGTCAATAAAGTCAATTGGAAAATTCAAGAAAAGCAATATAATTAATTTTTTCAGTTACTTTTTTCAAAAATAGATTATTTTTATTGCCTGGCATTTGTACAGGGGGATTCAGCTATATCAGTATAGAGCCAGGAAAAGAAAATTTACTGTGGGCTCTTGAGCTTTAACAGTTACCTTTTATTAGTTTTTTATTTTAGTTTTTACATTGTATTTTTGGGCTTTTAACTAATTTTTCTTCAATTCTCAAGTTTTTTATGAGAACAAAAAACAAAATTGCACTGACACGAGATCAAAAACCAAAACAATTAATTAATGTTAGAAAAAACAACATCAACAATTAATTTCAATTATATCTTTAGTTATATTCCTTTTATTCATAATATTCGCGTATTATTTGTAGAAATACGCATTATTAATTAGTGACTTGCTTCTTATATTGATTACAAGTGGATAGTTCATATAACATTATGATTAAAATTTAATAGGTAAAGATTAATAGGATTCACTTACTTTGTGTGTCTAATTAATAAATTTGACTTTTTAAATTCAAAATAATCGAGTTGGTTTACATATCTTTCAGAAGAAATAAATAATTTAATAAATGAAGCAAGTTTACTCAATTGTTGTAATTAGCTATTAAATATTTGATAGCCATAATACAAGATAATTAATGCCAGTGATGTGTTTGATAGAAATGAAAAACAAATTACTTTATTAAAATCCTAAACCTTTCTTTATAAGATGGAAGTAATAATTAGGAATTTTTTTTTTAAAGGATATTAGTATCACTTTGTTTACCCAGGGATTAGGTTCTTCCTGTATTGATTATGACATAAATTCATCATATTAGTTTACCTAAACTAAAAAAAAGTTCCATTATCTGTGATGAGACAAGAAATTATCATAGTTTTGTTTTTGGTAATATAAAAGTATCATAGATTAATTCAACCACTGAATAAACCATTTTAGTTCGAAGATACTTTTAAAATATGCATATACGACTCGAAGCAAGATAAGCTAAATTCTTATCCACTATAGGTGATAAGTTCAAACACAACTAATTAATGTTCAAATACTCATTTTGTCCAACTCAATGTAGTAATCACTAAGTGAATGTATAAAATGTTAATGTTATAAATGTCATCTATAGATTATATTTACTCCCTTAAATATTTTTTATAAAATTTAGTTAACTAATTTAATGTGACATTGGTATATTTCATGACTATTAATTAAATTAAAAATGCTTTTGCAGACAAAAACAGATAAAAGAAATGTTTTAATTAGATTATAAAAACAAATAATCTAGTCTTTTATAAAGTAGTAAAAGAAATTATATAATACTATTTGTTTATTGTTTTTAATAAATAAATAAATATATACCAATATTTAAGCACAAAAAATTATATAAATCCTACCTATTTTAAATTAATTTTCATATATAATATAAATTTACAATAAAATAAAAAATATTCATTAAAAAACAAATATTTTATGAAAAAAATTGTAGCAGCGTTTTTACATATTTTTCATTCTGAGACAAAATTTGTTAAGGAAACTAACTTTTTATTTTTTTATTAGATCATTTGAAAAATCGTCACTTAAAGTACTTAAAAAAAATCTCGTAATTCAATATGATTAACAAAGTTAAACTGTCTTATATTAATTAGTTTAGGTTTAATAGCCAATTTAGTCCCCACTTTGGTTGAAAAATCTCAATTTAGTCCCTCGTTATAAAAGTGTTTTACATTAGTCCTAACTTTTAAAATAGTGGGTCAGATTGGTCCCTTTCGTTAAATATAAGTTAACGAAATTAATGGATGATGATGTGACACAGCTTAAAGCTGATGTGTTAGATTGGTCCCTCGTTAGCTTTAAGTTGTGTCACATCATCATCCATTAATTTTGTTAACTTATATTTAACAGAAAGGACCAATCTGACCCACTATTTTAAAAGTTAGGACTAATTCAAAACACTTTTATAACGAGGGACTAAATTGAGATTTTTCAACCAAAGTAAGGACTAAATGGCTATTAACACCATTTAGTTTATGTATCGGTGAAGACAATCGACACTTTTCTATTAAATATTGACTTTATAAACGTGTAATGTATTTTTACAAAATATTTATTTATTAATCTGTAAATGAATATTTCAATACGCATCACATTATCATATCAAGAGTTACACTATGGACCAATTTTATTAAAAATATTTCAAAGAAAAAAATATTATATTTTATTAAAAAAACTTTAAAGATTTAAACTATGGACCAATTTTTTACAATCCAGGTTCACTTAATATATTAAAAAAACACGTTAATAAATATTATTGTAAAAATAATATCAGTAAATCGATGTGAGTTTCTCAACAATCATGTTGTTGATTGTTATTATGTTAAGAAAAGATTCAATTAGTTGTTTATGATGTTCAATTATTATGAGAAATGATTGTTTAGATAGATTGATATTAGTCTTAGTATGTGTTTCACATGTTTCTAAAGTCGAGAAAAACCTTTTAATAAATCATAATCATATAATAATTTATTAGTTTAATTTAGGATGTTGTAATCGAAAAAGGTTTTGATAGATTTTGGTTTAGAATTATGTACATGCACATTTGATATGATATTTTTTTATCTTTAGTGAATTTGTAACTAATGGTATCAGAGAGCAACATGGTGTTGGTTTCTTATAATGGATTGTTGGAATGAAAAAAAAAAACCATACATTTGATTATGATGTGAGTTCAGCTTTTGTTGAGCGAGTGGAAAATAAACAAACAAAAGCCATACATAAACAAGAGGTTAGTTTCTTTTCCATTCCATTCAGATGGGTGAATGAACCTTAGGTAAATTAAACAAAAACACTAATCAGGCAATTCAATTCTTACAGTTTTATTCTTTAAGATATTGTTTGGAAAAACTTAAGCAACACAATAATGTTTTTTTTTTTGTTTTATGTACTCACATGTTTGATAACCTTTTGCATAACCAATTATCATAAAACTCACATGTTAGACTTTCTTGTGTTTAATATGATACAAAAATAAGAGTGTTTCTTATGCATCTTAGCTAATGATGTGTTAGAGTTTAAAAAGTCGACAAATAAAAATTAATGATTAAGATATTAAATACACTAGCTACAAAAATCAATTTTATAACGTACAAAAATGACCTATTATAACGTACAAAAAGGGAGATATAGTGCTGGGCGTTATAATAGGTCTGCCCTTTTAAACGTAGCTAAAAATTACGTTAGAATAGATCAACATATTATAACGTAATTCCTGTTTACCTATCATAATATCACGAATTAACCTATATAACATAGATTATTTGTCACGTTATAAAAAGTTGTTTTTTTATATATAAAAAAAAAATTCATGCTTATCATTTTGACATCCAATTAATCAATTTTTCTACTATTATCCTCTTTTATTTAATTTTTCTCGTATTCTTAATTAAAAATTTAAAAAGCTATCATCAGGGTTCGAAACCCTCTTTTGATATAACTAAAGCATATTATTAATATCGCATGTTCAAATTATACGACATTCACTTCCAAAAACTGAAAAAAAAGGTTTTGCCATGGCTAGGTTTGATTAATTCAATAATAACCACCACGTTTCTAATAATTAGGAACACGAGTACTCTGTACAAATTACAAGAAATGATATAATAAGACAGGATTTAAAAGCAAAAAAGCTAAGGTCTAAAAAGAATCAATTTCAACTCATCAAGATTGAACTATCATATAATATTAAATACGGCTAATCATGATATTACTAGAAAAATGCAAGAAAAAAAGTTATACATAATGTGTGGCTATTCATAACTAGGCCTATGCTGAAATGATATCTGAAACTTTGCCTTGCCTTTGCCTTTGCTGAAAAGATCTTCGTCTTCTTTACTGTATGAATAGAAGACATGAGGCATAAGAATATGTTTCCATCAAAACATTTTATAAACCTGGAGAAGGTGAAGCAAGACAAGTAGTTGGATCATCATTATTTAGAACGGACAAACAAACATTCCAGAGACACAGGTTATAATAACAAGTCTCATAAGCATACATAATTATCATTTTGTTTAGGCAAGTTAGTAACCATGGTATTGTAATGTCTTTAGAACAATATCTGATGAACCATATGCTCTAAATAAAAAATGTGCAAATGCAAATGTCCTACCTTCATATAAGAAGCAACATGTCCACCAAGACAATTTCCCGTTGCATATATTCAATTATTAATTGAATAACTAATAAAATCGAAACCAAACCAAGTAGCATTGCAAGAGATCCACCTAAGGGAACCAAAGACACATTTCCCATTGTAGTCCTGATAAGACCAATATCAAGGAGAGCACGGAAATGGTCTCCTGGTATTAGCGGGGTTAACAGAATAATCCTCTCCAATGGCCTCAAAAGTGAAACAAATCAACTGAGTAAGATGTAAAAACAAAGATCATAGCAAACTCCTATACCTCATAAAAAACAAAGCATTATAAAAAACCAAAGCATTAAAAGGGAGACAGTGTAAATAAAACACACAAGACAAAAAACAAAAGCATTATAGAAAGGGTTAGATGTCAGTTCATTCACAGTGCATTGATATCTTGTTTTTGGAATCACATTCCCTGAAAATCAACTCTTAAAGAATTTCACCAAAGGATACCAATTAAAAATGTATGAAGAACTGGACAAGCATTTCACAGTACAAGAGCTCAACCAATAAGAATACAGTAAATACACCAGACAACATTTTTATTTTATGGGCAGGCAAAGACGCAACAACACATATAAAATTGCAACAACGAACCATTCCAAAGCTTGAGACTCAACTGTTTATTGCACACACAAGTTCTAACTAAAGAGTTTAGTACATACAAAAGTCCTTGCCAGGTAGCCCATACATAAGTGCAGGATATAGTCGCTGGCTGACAAAAGCAAATCCATAAAAAGAAGGAAAAAAAAACTATCATGTGTTTATGGGGTTGTAAGGGTTAGAAAGGAACAAAATTGTAATAATTTATTAAAAAGTGAAGGAAAAAGAAAAACAAACAGACAGAGGCCAATAGAGGAACAGAGTTAAGCACAATAAACAGCATTGTCGTGAGGAACAACATCCATGTCGTCGGTGCTGTCAGCTTGAATGGGATGGTACGAAACTGCATAGAATACTGAGCTCAAGTTTTTGGACCGAACACTCAAAGCACATTAACCCAAGAAACCACGTACCTTATAACAATGTCACACTGCCTCAACACCCCTGTAAAGCAAGCCATCCACCCCGATAACAACTTCGAAGCAATGAGTTGATGGAAGACGACCTGAGGAAAAGTCGATCGAAGCAACGCGAACGCTTCAGACCTCCTTAAGCTTCCTTAGAGAGGCGACGCAGTGGAATGGAGTAGAAACTTGAGAACAAGCTCGAAATCGAGAGAGAATCAAAGACGAGAACTTTAAGCGAGAAGTTATGCTTAGGATTCGATGCGAAAAACCCTAAGATGGAGTAGAAACCTTAAACTGACCGATTGATCGGTGTAAATCAATGTTTAATTGGTGGAAAGGGATTATAATCGGTAGAACGTGATTATAATCGGTGGAAAATGTGGAAAATGATATTTCAATCGGTGGAATCGAAGGTAAAGGCAAAAAAGATGAAGGTTTATGAGAAACCCTAGCAGTAGATGTGGTTGGATGATGAGTGAAACGAAAATGCAGATATGTGAAGAGAAATGGAAACTTACGGCTTAAAAATTCTTAAGCGAGAGTGAAAAGCTTATGATGAAGATGTGCTCTTGTGATGAAATGTTACAACCGAGAGACCTGATGGTGCCCTGCCAGTTAGGGTTTCTGTGTGAAGATGATTAAGAGTTAGCGGCCCATTGATGAAGTCAAGACAGTTAAAGAGATATTATAACCGGTTTTTCAAAAGCAGGCATAATATATTACCAAAATTTTCTATCCACTCATGTATTATAACAAATGTCTTTACCTCCGTTATAATATCTTTTAAACTTGTGCCACGCATTTTTTTATATCATGACTGATATTATAATTCCGTTATAATATAAATTAAATTATTTACAAGTTTGCCACCGTATTAGATATTATAACTAATTTTCATAACTCCGTTATAATATGAATTAAATTATTTACAAGTTTGCCACCGTATTAGATATTATAACTGATTTTCATAACTACGTTATAATATGATTGTTATAAAATGTCATTTTTCCACTAGTGATAAAACAAGAAATAAAGTCACTTAATATGATGATCTTGCCTGATGTAGATACGTTACAAAAGCGGTTGGCTGAAGAAGGAAAACATGAAGGTAATAAAATTGCATGTTTTTGTGTTTAAGATTTCAAAAGTTGTCTTCCCTGTACATAAGCTTTATTCTTTTTCCTAACAGGTTATGAGAAAATGGAAAATGGAGATAATGATTTTATCCATACAAAAATGAGAAATGAGTCATATATACAAGTATTTTTCTATAAAATCCTTTATGTTTTCAACAAGGATTATTTTAGAATCATTGTCCTGGACTTTTAACGACATCGTCATTATTTCTTGTAACTTTTAACAACGACTAAAATAATAACAGAAACCGTCTTTATAGATTCAATTTAGTCGTTGTTAAATATGTTTTTTTTATTTTCTTCAAGGGTTTAATTTAAATCTTTGTTTTGTTAAATTTATTATTAATAAAAAGTAATTTCCATAGGTTAATTATGCTATGCAAAACTTTCGGGTCATATAAGGAGGACCACCTTGTATACTTCAGTAACCCCACCTTTCGCTCTATGCATGCTCCATGTTCTCAAACATAGACACGTAGGTTTTATTTTTTAATTCAGTATGTTTTGCGTGACCTGTTTGTTTAAGAAAAGATTAGTACTAAAAAGATTTATACTCACTTTTTTATATTTTAGATATAGATTGAGATATTTTAATATCTTATTTATATATTAGTAACTATTGATAAAGAAAATAGTATGAAATTAAACAAATCGAAAAGTCTACATATCAGTTAAATACTGCTATCAGTTTGCCTTTTTTTTGTTATTTTTCTGGGTTGAAATGAATGTTTATTGAATTATAGAGTATCGATAGACATGACACACAATACTCTCCATTTTTATCCATTTAAAAACTACTTTAATAAATGCATACTTTAATAAATGCATGCTGATTTTGCTAGCTTTAAGATAAAACTTTACAACCAGCTATATAAAGTAAACCAAAGTATATCATAAATATGGTATAAAGTATCATATAGTAGAGGTCCATTCCTATGTCATTTATTATATATATATATATATATGGAAATGATTAAGACGATGATACACAGATTTTATTAAATGAATTTCTATACAAAATTTAATAAAGTACATATCTTGGAAAAACGTTCGAGAAGTTATTTATAATGAGTTCTTGAAAATAAATCAATCATTTTTTATCTTATTGGTCGAAGTTAGAAATTAGATATTATATAGATGTAATATATATAGAAGAATATGTGTGATAGCTTGATTGATACATTTCTGATTGACACACTAATTAACATTCAGGGAAAGACAAAAGATAAAATAAATGCTCGTTTGGATTTGTTTGAAATGAAAATATGAGAAAACTTGATACCAATGGAAGATAAGTTTTTACCAATGCCTAAAGAGTGTCCAGTATTACAAGGATACTCTTAAAATATTAAGAGTTTAGTGTCGATGTAGAATGTGAAGTTTGTTGACATGAAGTCTCACGATTCTAAAATATTAATGTAACAATTGATATTGATGGCTATTTGTGAAATTTTTATCCAAAAATGTTAGACAAACTATAACTCGTTTCTGTTCATTTTTTTCTTCAATTTGTAGTAAAGTGATTGTTCCGGTAAAGCTATATTTTAATGCAAGATTGTTATCATACTTGTGTCATTTTGGTACATTTTTCCCTCTATCATTTTTTGACATCATGATACATTTCCTTATTCATTTGGTAAGAGAAATAAAATTTCGTGGACTTGTATACCTAAGATGAATGTATCTTATTGAACATTATATGAAGATTTTAAAAGGGTATATACAAAATTAATATTCTCTAGTTTGTTAAGATTCTTTTATCTAAGGAATAGATTTAAATAATCAATTTTCCAATTGATAATTGAGTACAAGTTGAACTAATTCATAAAGTGAATCTTATATGTTATAAGGTGTTAGAATAAGGATCACCACTCAAAATAAAAACTCACATATTGTCTCATGTTGGGTATAGAAAATTTAAGAACGAGTTTTGTAGGGAGGCAATAATGACTTTTGTGAACAAGTAGAAACTGGAAAAAACAAATAACCCTACTCATGGAGATATAGGTTACAGTTCCTTTAGAGGAATCATGGCCTAAAATGAGAGTCTCAATATAAGCTATAGTTTCCTTATGTAGGTATCAATGAGTGTCGCGTATCGAAATAAAAAGTGATTAAAGAGCATAAAAGCATGTTACGGCCAATAGCCAATTTAAAATGGTTCCTTTTAAAATCGTGATTTTTTTCTTTTAAGACCTTTAACAAACAGTTTGTATGGGTTCAAGAAAATCAACACAAATTTTATTCTGGTTCTAATCAAAAGATTCTACGTCCAGTCATTAATCACTATGAATATTGATTAACCTTTTTCACTAAAATATGGTTTGTAGATTACAATCAAATAATCAAAATAAGCAAATAATAAAAAACACCTTCCTTCGACAAACAAACGGAAGAACTTTCCTTCGAGAAACAAAAGGAAGAAATTGTTCAGCCAGCTTAAAGAGAACCCCTCCGACCTTAGACAACTAAGCACAAGCTTCTCTTATTCACAAGACTTGACTTAAGCTACTCTATCACTTGAGAACTTCCTTAGACAACTTTGTACTCTCAAATGGCATAGATATTTCTCTAAGGGTTTGGAAAAGAATGTATATAGCCTAGAGGTCAGAATCTAAAAAGACAACTCCTACCTACCAGTGATAATCGATTATCAAAACTAATAATCGATTATTCGTGTCTGTTATGGGGTTTTCAAAATGCGATAATCGATTATCCTGAGGAATAATCGATTATT